TTCTGGAGGCTTCTTCACCGATCACCATTCACCTTTTTGCATATGTTCATCTCAGATTCTGTTACCAGTTACATGTTTTTTTTCACATTCCAGTCTGTTTTTCTATCCCAAGTTGTACCATCTTCTACATTCCTAGAGCTGCACCTCATTCACAGCACGCAGACTCACACAGGCTCACTTGCTTCTTTTTCAGAAAAATGGTTCACACAGTTAAGATGGTTCCTTAGTGTAAGCAAATGGCTGGCTTAGATATCATTCTGCCTTGTGGTTAGCAGCTTTTGCTAGGCTACGGGTTAAAGGCTTGTACTCAGCTGCAAATCCAGTGCTCCCCAAGATCCAAATATAGTCACCCTAACATAACTTATTACTAAAACTGCACAATCAACCCTGTTGCACAATTACAAGGCATGGCACCTTAACCTGCCACAGGTAAAGCAGAGGGGCAAGGCTACTGCAAGCACTGTTAAACACTCATTTGAGAGATACAAGGACGAGGGCCATGCCTCCTTACTATAGAAGAACCCCGTACAATCTGTAACAAGCTTACCACAAGGTAAAGTTCCTTCCAAATCCTAAACATGGTGATTGGTCTGACCCTAAGCAGAGGGTCGAGACCCTCTAGCTAGGAACCTCTGGCTTTTAGTCCCAGCAGGAGCATTGGCACAGCCCAGTCAAAAAACACTCGCCTTGGCTGCAGCCAACACTCAGTGCTTCTGAGGAAGGCAAAAAGAAAAAAAAGAAAAAAAAAACCCAACCCCCACCTTACACTTGTAGCAAGGGGTGGGAGGCGGGGGTGATCCTCCCCGTTCCATGTGGCAACCAGCAAAGCCCAACAGCATGGGAAATATTAACCACTCTCAATTCTGCTGTGCAACCTGGGGACAGCAAGCACAAGTCCACACATCACATCCTTTTACTGGACAAGCAGAAGTCCCCTTTCTGGATCCCCTCTGCAGCAGGACACTGAGATGTGCCTGCTTCTTTATGGGAGCAAGCAGCCCAAAAGGCTGTTTGCAGGTGGCAAAGGGGAGCTAATGAGATACTTGCCTGACCAGAAGAAGGCTCAGTCTTGAACTATATAAACCCAAAGCCTGCACTGGTCAGTCTTGCCCTGGTAGCTATGGAGTGAAGAGCCCCTGACAGCAGAGCAGCAGGACTTCTGAACTGGCAGCAGCTCTGAAAGAGGAGCTCTGCAATGCAGGGAACAAGGCAAGGTACCTGGAGCAGAGAAGGGCTTGGTTACATGGGCAAGTGGCTCTGTTTTATGTTAAGCCTAGGGAAGGCTTGAGTGCCTGACAGAGGGCAGGTATTCATTATTAAATTGTCCTAGAGGTTTAGCCTGGAGCCCAGCAAGGACAGGCAAGAGGGCTAGCAGCCTAACAGGGGCTGAGACTGGAGCTCAGCTAGGGGTACACAGTGCTAGAGAGTAGGGACCAAGGCATCCATGAACCCCAGGCCTGGAAAGGGCCAGGAGTTTGATCAGAGGGTGCAGGGGCAAGCAGGGCTGAGAGAGTGAGACCCAAGAAAGTCCAAAAATAGGGGGAGGACCTGAGTCTGGGACCTGGTGGTTCAGGAGTCAGGGACTCAGACAGTTGGACCAGAGGGTCCAGGGACAGGCTGAGGGCTGGATGAGGGTCCATAAGTTTGAGAGGGGCTGCAAGCTGGACCAGGGCTCCTGGGGTCCCAGGGAAAAGGGCTGCAAGCCAGACCGGGGGCTCTTGGTGGCCCAGAGATGGCAGAATGTGGGACCACAGGTGTTCAATGGCCAAGTGTGTGAACTGAACATCATAGTGATAATACCTGCAAGACTTGGGGGCAGGTTGTAAACAGAGCCACGCAATTTTCCCTTAAGACTACAGGTGCCCTACTGGGGCCAAGGCACTGGCAGGCAAGGTTCTTTGAGTAGATGTGATACCTTTTATTAGAGCAACTGAGTAGTTGGAAAAAAATTCCTAGCAAGCTTTTGGGTGAAGTACCCTTCTTCAGGCGTAGGACTCCCTATGCCTGAAGATGGCTGACTGCACTCAACAGAACAATTAGAGGCCTGCAGGAAAGGCCCTATGAGGGAAGGTGGAGGGACTGGGACTTTTTCAACCTCTGGAAGAGAAGTCTGAGGGGGGATCTTGTGGCAGTATACAAATTCACTGCGGGGGGAGAATGGGATGCAGCAGAGAATAGAAGATGCTCTGTTTACCAGAACACCCCTTGGAATAACCAGGAACAGCAGCCACAAGCTGATAGAAAGTAGATTTAGGCTGGACATTCATGGTTAGGGTCGCCAGAATCTGGAATGGGCTTCCAAAGGAAGTGGTGCACCTCCCTACCTTGGGGGTCTTCAAGAGGAGACTGGAAAAGCACCTGCCTGGGGTCACATGACCTCAGTACTTTTTCCTACCATTGGCAGAGGGTCAGACTCAATGACCCATTGAGATCCCTTTCAACCCTAGCATCTATGAATCTATGCATCTATGTTTCAAAAAGGGGAGGAAGAAGAACCCAGGTAATTAAAGGCCAGTTAGCCTCACATCTATTCTTGGCAAGACCTTAGAAAAAAGCATAAAGAATCATTTATGGGGGGCTAGTGGGTAAAACAATGTTAGAGGGCAACCAGCATGAGTTTATAGCAGGCAGATCCTGCCTAACTAACCTGGTCTCTTTTTATGACTAGGTCACAAATTGTTTAGATGCAGGAATTGAAGTAGATGTTATTTACTTGGATTTTAAAAAGGCTTTCAACTTGGTGTCACTCCCAGTTCTTACAAGTAAACTAAAAAGCTGTGATGTGGATTTTTTCACAGTCAGGTGGGTGGAAAGCTGGCTTATGGGATGAACCCAGAGAGTGGTGGTGGATGGGTTGGTTTTTACCTGGAGAGATGTGGGCAGTGGTGTCCCCCAAGGCTCTGTCCTTGGACCAGTGCTGTTTAATATCTTCATCAGGAATTGGGATAAGGGTGTAGAAAGCACTCTATCCAAATTTGCAGACAACACCAAACTATGGGGTATAGTAAAAATGCTAGAGGGTAGGGAGTGAATCCAGGAGGATGTGGATAGACTGAGGAAGTGGACAGATCAGAATAGGATGCAGTTTAACAAAGATAAATGCAAAGTGCTGCACCTGGGGAAAAAAATCACCAATAAATCTATCGACTGTGAAGTACCATTCTAAGTAGCACAACAGCGGAAAGGGATCTCGGAGTCATAGGCAATGCAAAAATGAACATGAGTTGCCAATGTGATGAGGTAACAAGTAAGGCTAACCATACTCTGTCTTGCATTAGTAGGTGCATCACGAGCAGGACCAGGGAGGTGACACTTCCCCTCCATGCGGCATCCATCAGGATGCAGTTGGATTACTTCATCCAGTTTTGGGCACTGCACTTCAAGAGGGATGAGGATAACCTGTAAAGGGTTCAGAGAAGGGCTACTCATATGGCTGAGGACCTGCAGGTAAGATCCTATGAAAACAGACTGAGGGACATGACTCTCTTCAGCCTCCACAAGAGAGGCTGAGAGGTGAACTTGTGGCTATCTACAAGATAATCGGGGGGGAGGGGGGAGAGCAGGGAATAAGGGATACTCTGTTTACCAGGTGCCCCTTGGGGTTACTAGAAACAATGGCCATAAACTGAAGGAGAGCAGATTTAGACTGGACATCAGGAAAAAAAAATCTTTACAGTGGGGGTTGCCAAAATATGGAATTGACTTCCAAGAATGGTAGTGCTTTCCCCTACCTTGGAGGCATTTAAAAAGAGATTAGACAAGCACCTGGCTGGGGTTACTTAACCCCAACGCTCTTTCCTGCCCAGAGCAGGGGGTCGGACTCGATGATCTAATAGATCCCTTCCGACCCGAGAAGTCTATGAAATGAATGCTGAAAAGCACTGGACCAAGCACGGACCCCTGAGAGACACCACTGGCCACTTCTCACCCAGGAGCCTGCCCCTGAAAAAGGCAGTCAACATTTCATAGAATCATAGAACCATAGAAGTAGGGTCGGAAGGGACCTTGTAGATCTTCAGGCCCAACCCCCTGCCTGGGCAGGAGGGAAACTGGGCTCAAGTGACCCTAGTCAGGTAGGCATCAAGTCGCTTCTTAAAGAACCCCAGGGTAGGAGCCAGCACCACTTGCCTTGGACGTCGGTTCAGGATCCTAGCTGCCCTGACTGTGAAGTAGTTCTTACGGAAGTCTAATCTGAACCTCCTCTCCAACAACTTGTGGCCGTTATTCCTTGTTAACCCAGGTGGCGCTAGGGGAAACAAGGTCTCCCCCAAACCCTTCTGGTCCCCCCTAGTGAGTTTATAGACAGTCACAAGGTCCCCCCTCAGCCTTCTCTTGTGAAGGCTGAACAGGTTCAGGTCCCGTACCCTCTCATTGTAGGGTCTGCCCTGCTGCCCCCGGATCATGTGGGTGGCCCTCCTCTGGACCCTTTCAATGTTAAACACATCCCTCTTGAAGCGGGGTGCCCAGAACTGGACACAGTACTCCAGCTGTGGCCTGACCAGTGTCGCGTAGAGGGGGAGGATCACCTCCTTGGACCTACTTGACATGCACCTGTGGATGCACAATAGGGTCCGGTTAGCCTTGCCAACCGTGACCTTGCATTGTCAGCCCATGTTCATATTGGAGTCAATGATAACTCCAAGATCTCTTTCTGCCTCCGTGCTCTCAAGAAGGGAGTTTCCAATCTTATAAGTATGTTGCTGGTTACTACTGCCCATGTGCAGCACCCTGCACTTGTCCGTATTGAAACGCATCCTGTTTTTGTCAGCCCACCCTTGCAACCTATCCAGGTCTTTCTGCAGTCTTTCCCACCCTACCAGCATGCCCACCTCACCCCAAATTTTGGTATCATCAGCAAATTTGAACAGGTTTCTTTTCACCCCATCGTCCAAATCACTGATAAAGAAATTGAACAGTGCGGGCCCAAGGACCGAGCCCTGGGGGACTCCACTGCCCACTTCCCCCAGGTCAAATATGACCCATCCACCACCACCCTCTGAGTACGACCCTTCAGCCAATTAGCAATCCATCTGACCATGTAGGCATCGATGCCGCAGTCACCCAGTTTTTTAATAAGGATGGGGTGGGAGACAGTGTCAAAGGCCTTGCTGAAGTCCAGAAAGACTA